TGTTCCCTTGGTATCTCTAATTTTCTTGAAGAGATCTCTAGTCTTTCCCATTCTATTGTTTTCCTCTATTTCTTTGCACTGATCACTGAGGAAGGCTTTCTTATCTCTCCTTGCTATTCTTTGGAACTCTGCATTCAAATAGGTATATCTTTCCTTTTCTCCTTTGCTTTTTGCTTCTCTATTTTTTCACGGCTATTTGTAAGGCCTCCTCAGGCAGCCATTTTGCTTTTTTGCATTTCTTTTTCTTGGCGATGGTTTGGATTCCTGTCTCCTGTACACTGCAGTATTATTTAAAATAATGAAGATATGGACACTACCTAAGTGTGATTAATAAATAAAATGTGAAATACAGACACACACATATATGTATGTGCGGTGAAATACTATTCAGCCAGAAAAAAGGATAGAATCTTGCCATTCGCAACAACACGGATGGACTTTGAGGGCATTAAGCTAAGAAATAAGTCAGAAGGTGAAAGACAAAAACCATATGATCTTTAAATCTTAAAAAACAAAACACATAAAAATCATACCAAACTTACAGATATGGAAAACGGAATGATGGTTGCCAGAGGTAGGCACTTGGGAGCAGGCCAAATGGATGAAAGGGTCTAAAGGGTCAAACTTCCAGCTATAAAATAAATAAGTCATAGGAATGTAATGTTAGTGTGGCGACTGCAGTTAATAATACTGTACTGCATACTTGAATGATCCTAACAATGTAAATCTTATAAGTTCTCATCACATACATACAAAACTTTGTAACTATGTGTGTTGATACAAAAGACTTATTATGGTGATCATTTTGCAATATATACAAATACCAAATCATTTTATTATGTACCTAAAGTTAATATAATGCTCTATGTCAATAAAACCTCAATTTACAAGTTTTTAACATAAAAAAAAAAATATGGGGAGGAAAAAAGGGAGAGCTCTTTGTTTTCTTCCTGGGTAGCAGCCAGGTCAGCAAAGAACTGATGAGAATGGATAGGATTTCCCAAAGTAGAGAACAGAGAGACTGTGCCACACTTTCTCTCCTCCACATTCCAGCATTATCACTGTCCTTTACTCTCAACATACTCTGGCCTAACTCCTTCTTCAGCCTCATCCTAGGCCACTTCATACCATAGTCATCTTCTGCAGTCAACTCTAACCTTCTGCATGGCCACACTCCCCACCACTGTCCTTTAGCATGTAATGCACTTCACTACCACCATAACTTTGCCTGTGTGCTCTATCAGAAATGCCCTCCCCATCCCTGCCTGCCTAGAAAACTCACCCCCATCCTGAAAGATCCCACCTGCCCTTCAAGTCAATAAAATAGCTTGTCTGTATTCTTCAGCTCTTTATCCTATGAGTTTTATGTTTTATTATTTTCAGCTGTTTAGCAGTCTGTCTCCCCCTACTTATATGCCACTTAAGGGCATGTATCAAACCCTTTTTTCTTTTTTAAAGATCATTTGGATGTGGACCATTTTTAAAGGCTTTATTGAATTTTTTGCAATATTGTTTCTGCTTTATGTTTTGGTTTTCTGGCCATAATGCATGTGGGACCTTAGCCCTCCGACCAGAGATCAAACCCGAATCCCCTGCATCAGAAGGTTAAGTCTTAACCACTGGACCACCAGGGAAGTAGCTGACCTACAAGAATCTACACAAAGAGAGCATGACTAGTACTCCAGTATCAGAAACTGCAGCAAGTAAGGCATTAGAGTGGAGGTCATGGCAACCCACTCTAGTATTCTTGCATGGAGAATCCCATGGACAAATAAACCTGGCAGGCTGCAGTCCATAAGGTCGCACAGAGTCATACAGGACTATAGCAACTTAGCACGCATGCACGCACACAAGGCATTAAAGAATATGGTTTAGTTAAATGTACAGTTGGCTTCTCTGGTGGCTCAGTGGTAAAGAATCTGCCTGCAATGCAGGAGACCTGGGTTCAAACCCTGGGTCAGGAAGATCCCCTGGAGAAGGAAATGGCAACCCACTCCAGTATTCTTGCCTGGAGAATTCCAAGGACAGAGGAGCCTCACAGGCCTCAGTCCATGGGGTCTCAACGAGTCGGACATGACTGGGCGACTAAAACATAACACACACAGTCCTCAGACTCCCCTGGTGGTCCACTGGAAGCTCCCTTCCAATGCAGTGGACTCAGGTTTGTTCCCTGGTTGGGGAACTAAGACCCCACGTGCCATGGAGCAACTAAGCCCACTCACCACAACTACGAAGCCCACACACCACAATGAAGACCCCGAATGCCGCAGTGAAAATCCCGTGTGCCACAGCCAAATAAATAAATAAATATTTTTTTTAAAAAAGAATCGTTCTCTACTGAGACTCCATCCCCAACATTAGCCACTCAGTATATTACCTGTGAATGAATGGAGACCTTTGCAACGCCCTTTTCCGAAGGTCATTTCATTCACCTGGAATTTTCCTGCCTGAGCAGACCCCGTCCATCACACACCCTTTCTGAAAAACAAGTCTATCCACCACTCATTGCCTGAGATTGCTTTTCAATAACACACCCACCCTGTAACAACCCAAGCACTGTGCACTCTCCATGACAGAGATGTCACGAGGCATGAGCCTACAACCCATACTGGGGTCTGTTCAGAACTGGGGCCCCTTTCATGAGTGTGGCAAATGTGTTTATGTGTCAGGTCTCTTGGTTGGTTAGTGTTCTTTTTGGAACAATGCAATCTGTATTGCCAATAAGTAAGGATTCAAAATAAACACTGGATTTTGAATTGGATTCAAAGTCATTGGATTAAGTGACATCTCAAATATTCTTCCCAGATCTTCCCACTGTCAGTTCTGCCCACTGCCTGAAGTTTTCAGCTCCTGCACATTTTATAAATCTGCCCTCTGGCACCACGAGTGGAGAACAGGCAGGTCTAGGTGGTACACTGTTTTGATTGTGCCATGTTTCATTGTTACTGTATCAAACTCCAGTTTATGAGGTTAGAAACTTGGGAAAATTTAGGGAAGGGACAGGTAGGTGAAGCAAGGACAGGAGAATTAAAAGAAATAAGAAAAAACAAATCTCAATGCCTAAAATGTGCAATATATCAACAGAATTGGGAGGTTCACATAAGAGTAAAGAAAAATGCTATTATCTAAACCAAAACACTTACTTGTGGTTAGGAAGATTCTGGGTATATACATATGTATATATAGTCTCAGATACATATATATGATATTTTAAGGACAAAAGGAGACATTAATGCCAAGCAGTAGTTCTATTTTCCTAAGCAAGATGACACTAGAGTATTATTTTAATGCAAAATGAAACATGAACAAAAATGACAATTTTTGCAGAACAATTAAAATTTAGTTTTTCAGTTTACTATAAAATACAGCACTGATATGTTCTACCAAGTGTCAGAATTTAAAAAAAAGGGGGGGGGCAAAGCATTTATGAATAAAGTGGTTGTAACGCGGTGGTGGAAAAAAAAAACCTGATTTTCTTATAGTTAAAAATAGTGAAAGGATAGAGGGCGGAGAACAGTGGAAGGCATGTCTAGGAAGACAGGCGGGAGTATTCCCTAACTGATCTCAGAGGCCAGACTCAAGCATGGACTCTGTCCTGGTGCAGCGAGGAATGATCAGGGACGGAAGACAAGGGTGTGAACGGCCAGCTGCAAGAGCATCTCAGAAAACGGGAGAGGTCACAGTGGTAGATGCTGTACCAGAATCCAGACTAGGAGGCATGGGATGGAGCCAGGGAGGGAGGGTCCCCCGAGAGCCCCTTTCCTCCTTTCTCCCCTCTGCCTCCTGTCCTTTGATTTTCTTTCTTTTTTTTCCCACTCATCCCTCTCCCTTCATCTTCCTTGTTTCTCTTTCCCCCTTCTTCACTTGCCCTTTCCAGGGGCCATTTTCCTCCCCTCCATGTCTCTCCTCTCCCCTCTCCCTTCCCACAGCTACAGTTTGACATACCTTTCCATCACGGAAGACAAGAGTGATGGGGTCAGGATGGTCCTTACTTGAAGCCTGGCTCCCCCAATAACTATATGATCCTAGCAGGCTGGCCTCAGCTTATCGGCTTAGGGACACAGAACAGCTGCTCCCTTTTTGGGGTGTTGATTCCTAGTCAGGCACTCAAGCAGCACGTTTATGGACATTAATGGAATTCACCCTCACAATCATTCGTGAACGGACTGATCTTATCACCTCCATTTAACCAGAGGGAACTGAGACCTACAAATGTTCAGCAACTAGCTTGACATCACAGGAAGGAAGACAGCAGGGATCTGGGCCTAAGGCCCCCACCTCTTCATCAGCAGGCATCATCCACAAGGAGGTGGCAGGGTGTCAGGAACAGTCTGGCCTCAGTGCACTTGATATGCTTCCAGAAAGGGCTCTTCCTTTCTCTTCCATAGTTAATATCTCTTCATCACATCTGATAGAAAACGTATCTATCTTTAAAACTAAAACACATAAAAAGTTCAGCAAATAGTATTCATATGCTTAAAGTAATGCTGTTTATTTTGGGGAGATTGTGGGGGAAATCATCAGGTACTTGCTATCACTCTCCCATTTGGCCAAAGCTGTTTCTCCTGGCACAAATATATGCTGAGGTTACAGCTGGAGAGACACCATGCCACCATCACTTGTATTTTCAAAACCAGACCAACACACACACACACACACACACACACACACAATGCCATGCAACACACATACTTTCTGTGAAGAAATGTGGATAATTTTAAAGAACACCTTTCGTTAAAGTGAAAAAATGCTTTTCATGGTTAATAAAATAATTTTAAAATTTCAGTTCAGTTCAGTCACTCAGTTGTGTCCAAGTCTTTGCAACCCCATGAACCACAGTATGCCAGGCCTCCTTGTCCATCACCAACTCCCGGAGTCCACCCAAACCCATGTCCATTGTGTCGGTGATGCCATCCAACCATTTCATCCTCTGTCATCCCCTTCTCCTCCTGCCCTCAATCTTTCCCAGCATCAGGGTCTTTTTCAATGAGTCAGCTCTTTGCATCAGGTGGCCAAAGTATTGGAGTTTCAGCTTCAACATCAGTCCTTCCAATGAACAC